CCTTAACGGTCAGGAAATAACTGTAATAGAAATGTCCCTCTTTTTTGTTTTCTTTTTAATGCAAAATTGTAACAACCTGGCTTAGAGGAACTCGGTAAAACACAGAAACTACCTTATGCCATGCCACAAAGCAGAGCCACTGTACTTTTGCTTTCATTTCACACATCAAGATAGCTCTCCACTCAGCTCCCAGTCTCACCTCCAGGTCACAGCTGTATTCCGTGCCATCCAAGAGGGTCACTTTACACTGGACAGTTTTGGTCTTCTTGGTGGCTTTTTGAGATTCCTTCTCTGCCTTCAGCTCGTTGGTCTGCACTTCCTTTGTCTCCCTTTTTGCTGCTTCTCCTTCTCCTTTTTCTTCCAGAATTTCCTTCTCCTTCGTCTCTTCTCTCTCCTTACTTTCTTCTTCTGCAGCCTATTGAGGAAAAACATTTGAGTTCATTCCAATGTTAACCAATTTGCAGAAGACAACATATTAAAAGGACAGGAAGTGTGACAGTTATTATATCTACCTTAAGACTTTAAGACTTCAAAATTTTCCTGCACTGAAAGAAGCATATATCCCCTACATCCTCATTCCTCCAATCCATCACCAATTTTCTCATTTTGCCAGTTTGGTAATTTTGACTTTAACTGACTAAAAGATACTGCATCCTGGCAACTACATTTTAAATATTATTTCAAACATTTATCATTAAAATCTCACAGTATGACAAAACCTAGACTTCTTTTGGGAACAAAATGCACACACACACACACAAACAAATCTTCCTACTACTCAAATTCAATTAACCACGCCAGAGAGGTATAAAATGGGCATTCTGTTTAAAACAAGAAATGGAGAAATTCTGAGAGTATCTGCTTAACTTTAAGAGGACTAGATAGGAATTTTTTTTATAGTTCCCATATATAGGAGATTTTCTTATTTTTAATTTATTACCGTGGAAATTTAAAAAGAAAAGAAAAAGTAACAGGAGACTTAAAAGAGTGACCTAAGTTCTATATTCTAGATATATTAAGCCAAAGCAGCATTTCAATACAAGAAATCTGGAAATAATTCAAAACAAACAAATCCTTTTGTTATGCGGCTATGCTATTAAGCTTTCATTTCCAGACAATCACTTCCCAAGCATACCTGAGCAATGCTCACTGAAGGTTTTTCTTCCTTCACTTCAACCTTAATCTCCTGTTGTTTTCTGGGAGCTGTTTCTTCCACAGCACCCTTGGCCTGCCTCTCTTCTAAAAGAGATTCCTCTTTATCTACAATCTGTTCTTCCACAACAACTTGGGTAGGCTCTTTTTTATCTCCTCCATCTTTGGCCACTACTAAGTTATATGACTTTTGCTTCTTAAGCCATGGGGGTATGAATCGAGAAATACCCCTACTCTCCGATGGATCTTTCTCCCTCTTCTGGCGGTGTGCACTACTTTGGCTTTTAGCTGCAGGAGGTGACTGGGCACCTTTTTCCTCCTCTGTATCAGATGATTGATTCTGCTGATTTTCTGCTACACCTTGAGGTTTCTCCTTGGTTGCCTCTGCTCCTAACTGGTCAGATTCCTTTTTTACTTCAGATGTGGAGCCTACTTCAGTAGTCATGATCACAGCTTATTCTGTGAAGAAAACAAAACCACAAAACATTATTTTACAGACTTTTCCAATTTTAGTTTGAAGGCAAGGAGCAGTGAAAGGACAGGGAGGAAGGGCAGAGGGGTGACAAGGAGAAAGCGCCTGGAAAAAGAAGGTTCAGGACACAAGACAAACCTGAACTCCTCCTCTAAGTTTCAGAACTTTCTATCAGAATCCTAGAACCAAAATTAGCATCACAATAGGATTAATTCTGATTCTGTACAGACAGAACTTAAAATCACTAAGGGCTACAGGAAGAATGATTACTTCTATTTGTTTCAATTAACTATAAGCAATAATTGACAGAAAAATAATCCAATTTTGCAAAGGATAATTCATTTTCTCTATATTTAGTCTCCCCTATTCAGTAAAATAAAAACATCATACATTTTCATACATAATGCAATTTCACGTATTAAAATCAAAATCTGAAAAAAACGTTGAGCACTATAAAAATAAATCTTAAATGGTGGGCATCTAATAACTAAATTAAATCTGGAGGAAATATGCTATTTTTTGTTTTAAGGTTAAATCCCACAATCCACCATCACTGTTCTATTGCCAACATTCGTCTTTGGAGAAATGTACTCAAACTGGAGTCCAAATTCCAGTTTTGGAATTCCAAAATTCCAATCTACCTAAACTCGAACACACTTTTCTTTGTACGTGTGATTATCTCCACTGGGCAATTCTGCTGCAAGAAACCTCTTTAAAGTGTTAAAGAACAAAGATGTGACTAACGATGCTCCTGCCCCACACCATGGTTATTTCCAATAGCCTCATATGCATGTGAGGCTGGACAATGAATAAGGAAGACAGAAAAACTGATGCATTTGAACTTGTGGTGCTGGTGAAGACCGAACGCACCATGGACTACTAGAAGGAATAAATCTGTCTTGGAGGAAGTACAGCCAAAATGTTCTTTAGACACAAGAATGGCCAGACTTCATTGCTCATAATTTGGTCATGTCAGAAGGGACAAGTCCCCAGAGAAGGATATCATGCTTGATAAAGTAGAGGGTGAATGAAAAAGCGGAAGACCCTTAATGAGATGGAGTGACACAGTGGCTCTACAGTGATAGGCTCAAGCCTGGCAATAATTGTGAGGATGGCACAGGACCAGACAGTGTTTTGTTCTGCTGTACACAGGGTCAGCTGCTATGAGTTGAAACCAACTCAATGGCACCTAACAACAATGTGATTATAAGAAATATATTTAAGGCCCCTAATCTGAACCAAATGAAGATGGGGACGAAAAAACTATAACTAATGATTGGTCCTATCATGACTAATAACAAAATTTAAATTAAATATAAAAATAAATAGTTGTCCACATAAGCAAAAAGGGATTCCTTCTAGCACATAGTGGCACCACCGACATGAAAGATGATAGACAGGGGCTGCAGAGATAGATCACACCCTGTCATTCCTTCCTGCCAATGATGAAAGTGCTCAAAGTTCTGGCACCTGGTTAACAGCGAACTTCCCAGCTATCTTCAGATGTTGTATAAACCTGAACAGGGCAAAAGTAAAATATATTTCTTTAAAGATTTTATTGTGATATAACTCATACACCATAAAATTCACCAACTTAAAATGGACAATTAAGTGATTTTTAGTACATTCACAAGGGTATACAACCATCACCGCTCTCTAACTTTAGAACTTTTTCATCATCCCAAAAAGAACTGTCTATCCCTATTAGCAGTCACTCCTTAATGTTCCATTCCCTTGGCCCCTGGAAACCTCTAATCTACTTTCAGCCTCTATGGATTTATCTAAACTAGACATTTCATGTAAAGGGAATCATACGATAGGTGGCCTTTTGTATCTGGTTTCTTTCACTTAACATAATGTTTTCAAGATTTATCCATGTTGTGGCATGTATGAACACTTACATGGGCTGGAGGGTGGGGAGAATGGAGAGTAACATGGGGGGAGGAAGTGTTCTGGAATTAGTGGTACTTGTACAACCTTG